ATGAAAAATAAAAAACAATGTACGTACGTAGTATGTACTTGTGGAATGTATGTATGTATGTATGTATGTATGTATGTATGTATGTATGTATGTATGTGTGTGTGTATGTGTGTATGTATGTATGTATGTATGTATGTATGTGTGTATGTATGTATGTATGTATGTATGTATGTATGTATGTATGTATGTATGTATGTATGTATGTATGTATGTATGTATGTGTGTATGTATGTATGTATGTATGTATGTATGTATGTATGTATGTATGTAAGAATTCGCGAAAAGAGAAAGGATAGGAAAAAAATAATTACTAATTCCTTCTTCTTCTTCTTCTTCTTCTTCTTCTTCTTTTTATTCTTCTAAAATGAATAATAATAATAACTATAAAAAGTGAGATTTAATAAGATTAAATCATAAAAGCGAGAGAGAGAGAGAGAGAGACTCCTTGAACTCTATAAATACTACCATAGAGAATTCAAATGGAAAGAGATAGATTAGAGGATAAATTGATTTTCCTTTTCTTTTCATTTTTATTTATTTATTTTATTTTTACTTTTTTTCCCCTCCTTTTTTCTTTTTTATACACATAAATTATATACGCATACGCACACATAGATACAATCATCATTAAATAACACGCACTCGTATAGAGATAATAAGACGATAAGACGACATACAACAGCATACAATTGTGCAATAGTAGTAGTAGTAGTACTACTAGTAATAGTAATAGCAGTAGTAGTAGTAGTAGTAGTAGTAATAGTAGTAGCAGCAGTAGTAGTAGCAGGAATTGTTATTGTTACGTTGATCTTTCCTTTTTTTTCTCTCCTTTCCTTCTGCTTCTTTTTTTTTTTTCCTATCTTTTTTCTTCTTTTCTCCTTTTCTTTTTTCTTTTTCTCTTAAACATAGCAGGTACTTACGTATGTAAGTAAGTAAGTACCTGCTACGCCAATGAAACGCCTGTCGACCTTCGGAATCGGCGTCCAAGAGTTTTTCTGCTCCGACCATATAACGCCGGTAGCAGCCCAAGGAGGGCGCGCGATCGGAGAGTGGAAATAAACTCGCTAAGAGGTAGTAGAAGGTGTCGGTGGGGTGGGGAGTGGTAGGGTAGGGTGAGGTGAGGTATAGTGTGGCGTGGTGTGGTGTGTGGTGTGGCGTGGTAGGATAGGGTGGGGTAAGGATCGAGGGAGAGATGGGTTAAAGAAACGAAAAGAGAGCACGACGATCACGACGACGACGACTACCAACTCTTCTCTTTTCATTCTATCTTTCTCTTTCTCTCTACCTTTCTCTCTCTCTCTCTCTCTCTCTACCTCTCTCAGTCTCTTTCTCTCTCTTTGTCTCTGTCTCTCTGGCTCTCTCGCTCTCTCTCTCTCTCTCTCTCTCTTTCACTCACTCTTCCTAAAGCCGTTTGTAATCGAATATAAAATACATACTACGGCTTTCAAGTGGCGCTCCCGCGCGCTTTTATTCCAAATCGTTACTTGAAAATCCGTAATCCGATCATCATCTTTCTCGTCTCTTCGTTTGTTTTTTACTCTTTTTTTTTCTTTCTTTCTTTTTTTTTTATTTTCTTTCTTCCTCCTTTTTCATTTTTTTTTTTTTTTATATACCATTGAAGACAAGATTTTCTCAATTATATTACTCTAAATTTATCGTAAGTAATATATGTATACGTATATTTATTTACTTATTTGCACCTCGAGTGTCATCTTGTATTTTTTTTTGTATGTTTCTTAAGTTAGGTTATATTAGGTTAGGTTAGGTTAGATTAGGTTAAAGCGTAAGTATGTGCGTATGTATGTACGGTAGGGACACATATGTATACACTAGAAATGGGATGATTCTTT